AAGATACATGATTTGTTTGACCAGTTACAGTTGTTGTATCAACTATGCGTCTGGTTAGGGAGACTGAGATTGGACTAAAAAACACTAAGTCTTCACCTTATTCCAGCTGTTGTATCAAAAGGCACTAAGTCTTCACCTTATTCCTCTTGAGCTAAGGTCATTTAGACCCCGCCCAATCACTCATGGTAAGTCTTCAAGGTAGACTTCCAAAACCTTCACAAACTCGTTCTATGGCACTCCCACAAATTCTTCTTGGATGCACAGACCATGACACCTAACCGTCTGGTAGAATGATGGTCTTCAAAGGTAACAGGTGTCGGATCACACAGGGTAATCTCTTTAGTGAAACTCAATCACTTTGGCTTTGAGTGTTTGGGTTTTTCCTTACCCGGGGTTTTCTCAAGTTCGCCAGAGGAAGGGTTGCCCTCAAATGACACTTGTCAATCTCTCTCTTGAAGCAGCCAACTAGCTATCGGTTGGGGGGGCTATTTATAGCAGGGGCAACCTGCCAAGATAAGACATAAACATCCTTCGAAGACGACCATTGTCAGGATAAGGATCCACTCAACAGTTGGCAATCGCGTAGCAACAGCCAGAATGACAAATTCATCAGAACTCCCATTTTCCTCACATGGTATGCAAAATCGCACTGGCAAAGTCCTAACTCTTCAGCCAGTCCAGTTTCACCAACGACCAGAAGAACTTCGTCTCTATCGTTAAAGAACTCGACTACATCACAGGAGATTTCTAACGTCTTCACTCGAAAAAATAGGTATATTTTTGGGTTTGAGCATCACTTCGTAAATATGTCTATGTATCACCTAGACCCCCTTTAACAGTATGGTGTTTCCTATGACTCAAGTAGAAAGAAATTATGAAAACAAAGTCTTCAAGCTTTCAATTCTTCACATCAATTTCTTCAAAGATCACACCAAATTCTTCACTGAAGAAATACAATTTTAGGGGTCGTCTTTTGTCGATTAAACCAAATCTCCAAGGACTACATCTCCTGTGTACACTCAAAACACATTAGTCCTTTAATCCATTTGTCTTTAATACTCCAAAACCATCAAGGGGGCACTAGATGCACTTACAAGTATAACATGCAAGATGCTTGTTAAGGTGGATATTTTCTCGTGCATAATGACATAGTAAGTTGGCATAGTTGCATGTTGAGAGAATTAAATTTAGTGGGGCATGCATGATGGCATGATGAGGTGGCATAGTTGCATGTGAGGATAATTGAGTCAGTGGAGATTAACTATTTAGGTATATATGATATATGATTTCTCGTCGTCAATAGATCAATGTACTCTTCTCACCGATACCAAAATGTGTATCCTTCCTACATACAATTTTGTGCAAATAACGTATTTGAAATTGCAACGAGTCCGAAGAACAAACGTAGAAAATGGCATCCACTGGTCCTTTTCACACTTGTAAAAAACCCATCCAGGATATTCGGCATGCCAGCAGTAATCACGTTTACTAACCGGTAGAGGCACGCCGACAAGTTGTTGGCCGAGGACTGAGTCCCCCCTCCCCCCCCCCCCCGACGAGGGGCGAGGCGGTACCGGCGGGCGGTCTACGGTTGAGATGCGAACACCGATAGGAGTAGGACATACCGAGAAGCGGTGCAGAGCGGTCGAGGTGGCTGCGCGGGCGGCAACGAGCGTAGATCCGTCGATTTGGGCGTCGACGATGGAGAATCGACCAAATTAACCGGCGACAAGGAGCGCGGCGGGTGCTACGGGGGTCAGTAGTAACGCGTGGTGGCCGATGAAGGCAAGTAGGGCAGCGTCGGAATGGATGCAACACATGGTAGGGAGGGTACGATCGAGGGGGTACTTTTACTCCTCCGGTGAGCGGTCGAGTATATTTAGGAGTCAGGCGGGCACGAACGATAAATTTTACTTAAACATTGTAAGGGATCAATTAGATGCAGTTTAGAAGAGGAAAAGTTTCCTCCCCTAACCCTAGGCGACTAGGGCAAACTTTCCCTCCAGACTGTGAGCCGGTGGATTAGCCTCCCCTTCGCCTGCCGTTCCGGCGGTCGGTGGCGGGTAGGAGAATTTCAGTGCCTCCGCTTCATTTAGTAGCTTAGGTTAGTGTATTTTAGTCCCCACATGTGCAGAGTTCAGGCGGTTGGCAGCGCTTTTTCTTTGAGTTTGTCTTCGGGCTTCGACCCTCCTCGAGTTTATCCGTTTGGACGAGCCGACGGAGCTCCGCGTAGATCCTGCCGTCTTCTTGGGTTAGTGAGGTTAGGGTTTCTCGTCATGTTGCGTGACTTGGTGTCAGATGCTTCAGATCTAGCAAGGGTTCAACAGTGGTGACCGTGGCTCCAGGGCGCTGCACGTGCATTAAGACTTTCCGACTGTCATCGACAAGGACAAGCCGGCTCCGGTAAAAAGCAATGACAGCGGCTCGTTCTGACGGTAGTACTGGTCGTTTGATGGTCTAGAAATTTAGACGTAATTTTTGTTATGTTTGAGATACTTTGTACTATAGATGATTTTTTTATAATAGATATAATTCATTTATGTTGGTAATTGTTTAGGGATCAATTAGGGACACTTAATTGGTTGGTTTGTGAGTAGTATACATGTGGTTGGTTTGTATCGATTTTGGTCCGGTTTTTCATTGATTAACTGGACAAATCTCTTTTTCTTAATTAATCGATGAGGCAAATCTTTTGCCTCCGTTTTGAAAAAAAGGTTAGAGCAACTTCAATGGGGCGACCCATTTCGTTCGCTTGCGTCCGTTTGGGTCGGCGTCCGCGCCGACCCAAATTCAAATCGTGTCCGCCTGGCGTTCGCGCCGACCAATTTCTGGCCCAAAATTGCGCCTGAAATGCGTCGGCGCGGATGCGCCGCGCGTCTCCTCACCGTGCGCCGCGTCCTCATCTGGCGGCCACCCAACCGCCACCGGTCGTCTTATTTATGACGACCACCAACAGCGGGCCCACGCGTCAGCCAGTGGAAGCGTCCTTTTTAACCACGCGTGCGGCGTGGTCGGCCTCATCCACTTCTCCCGTCCACATCTGCCCCTCACCACTCCCTTTGCTTCCTCGCCGGCGACCGCAAACCCTAGCCATGGGCCTCTTCGGCAGCATCAATGGCAAGGGCATGGGCACCCCGGCGCCTCGTCCTCCCGTGCTCCCCTTCCCCCTCCTCCTTCTCCGGCGGTGACACATTTCCGCCCTGGTCGCCGGCGCCTGCACATCCCGGTGCACCAAGCACGGTGGCACTGGGAGTACAGGCAGCCATTGCCGTACCCCAACAACACGCTGCCGCACCGTTGGCATCTGGATCCGCAGTGGATCCCGGTGCCGGCGGTTCCTCGTACCCAACGGGCGCACGACGACGAGGTGCGCAGGCTTGCCGCAATGTCGACGCGGCTTGCCGCAATGCCGCCGCCCCAGCAGACGCCGGAGGAGGCTGCCCTGGCAGCGTACCAGGCGGCGTTCGGGTGGGCTGGCCCTGCTCCGGTCTTCATCGACCTCACCGACGACGGCAGCGTCGACGGCAAGGGCAAGAGCAAGGCCGACGACGTCTACGGCAGCGTACCGGGCGGCAGCAGGCGGACGCGGACTTTTTTAATGTTTTATTTAATGTTTATTAGATTTAAGTGAACTTTGGCCGGCGTTTGACCGGCCACTTTATGTTTAATTATGTTTATTTCGTGCAACTTATTATTATTTTTCCATGGTGGCACATTTGGGTCGGCCTTCTCGTTGGGCGGTCAAGCTGGCCTATTTTAAAATGCGGACACGCACGTCCGCCTGGTCGATTTAAACGGATAAAAAACAGACAAAACGTGCATTTGTTTGGATCGCCTCGTTGGATTTGCTCTTGGAGATGCTTAGAGAAATAGAGCAGGGCGGATGGGCAGGGGATCCGGCTGAGAAAGCGAGAAAATAAAGAAGCGGAAAACCAGGGGAAACAGTGAAGGAAAGCAGTTGTCGCTGGTCAGAGCAGTCATCGCTCCTATTTCCACACTAGACAAAATGGGGGCAGGGCAAAGCACCAGCGCGGCGGAAACAGTACCGCGGCACAGACTGCGCCATCACCACCAGTCCATCTCGCCCCCAGCCCAGAGGCTCCTCCACTCGCCTTTCCCCTCCCCTCCTCCGCCGCCGCCTCTCCCTCGGCGCAGCATCACCCCCTCGATCCCACGCTCCCCCGGCCAGTTCGCGGTCTCCCGCCGCGATTCCGCGCGGTGGGACGGCCGATCCGGCCGGGCCCTGTTCGTGTGGTGTGGGCACGTACTTCGCTCGGACTTGCGGGGAGAATCGGCGGCCGGATCGCACTATGGGCAGGTTGGTGGCCTGTTTGCTTCAGTTATTGCTAAATTGTGCGTGTGATTTCGTGGTAGCCATGTGAGGGCGCTTGTGCTTCCCGGAATTGCATGCGTGTCTCGCGGCTTCAGTTTGTGCTGCAGTTCGTGGAATGTGCGATCCGGTTCTAGGAGGTCCGAATATAGGTCGTTTTTGGTGAGATTTTTTCGCTAGTGGGTTTAGTGTTAGTCTACTGTCTAGTTGATCGTACAAGTGTTCTAGGTGATTTTATAAGTTAGGCCAACAGAAATAAAAATGGTACTAGAGAAGATGTGATACGTTTTACTGTTTGGAAGAGAAGGGCTAGAAGGATTTATGCATCCAATGTCATGTTCATACTTCTGGACCGTGTAGCTAGTACGATCACTGGAGGCAATGTTGCTTATGGCATATATGATACAGTAATGTAGGGTTTTCTATATTTCAGTGGTTTAATTTCTGGCATGCATCATTTTTTCTGTATGACAATTCATGAACAGTGATTTCCATGTTGAACTGTTGGTGAATCTTGGGTGCTATCTCGCTGATATGTGCTTGTTTACTCCTTTTTTCACAGGGATCTTCTACTGGATAGTGTGGTATTGTGCTGAAATCACCGCGGACACTCTTTTGTGATTGTCTCTGATACTGATTGGTGTATTGCGCCTCTTCTTCTTCATCATCAATGGGCATTGTGAAGGTTGCAAGTGGTGCGCCTATAGCGAAGAGTAGTTACAGCCGTGAAAACGAGGACCTTACACAAGAGGAGAGATTACTGCTTGAGAGCTTTCCTAGTCATGATTCTGCCGATGACTGCGAACATGCAGAGGTCGATTGTGAGCTTGCAATGTCTGGAGGCCAGTTGTGCAATGTGCCTTATGGGCTTTATGATCTGCCTGAGTTAAATGACATACTGTCTCTGGAGACGTGGAACTCATGTCTAACAGAAGACGATAGATTCCGTCTAGCAGCATACCTCCCGGACATGGACCAACATGACTTGTTTACAACAATGACGGAGCTCTTGAGTGGCAGTGCTATGTTCTTTGGGAGTCCACTTAGAGGTTTTTTTGACAGATTGAATGGTGGATTTTATTCTCCAGAAGTTTCTCGGGCAAGAGAATTACTGATGAACTTTCAGAGACGAAGGTATTATCATTTTCTGAAGTTGTATCATGATGGCATTGTTTGGAAGTTTGCGTGCATGGACAAGCTGTGGAGAAGAAGTCTTGTGGATACTAGTCTTGAGGAGAAGATTCACATTTGGCACAACTGGATACAAGAGAAGCTTCTCACATTTGCAGATCCAAACAGTTCTCCTTTGAATGCAAGACTATCAAATATTGGTGAGGTTGAAGCTGCCAGTTTTGCATCATTGAAGCGAGCTAAACTTATAGAAGGGACATCAAGTACCAATTGGTCAGCCAAATACAAGGAGATAGTCCATGAAGCAAAACCAGTGGAAATTAGCTCATCGAACAGTCGCATTTTTCACCTTCAAGATGTGCCAGGTGAAAAATGTAGCAAACCACCAAAAGTCGTGCTTAAAGCAAATGCCGACAGTGATTTCCTTGCTGATGGCAATGCAGGAATATGTCATACACCAGGACTGATCCCACTCGCTCAGCTGGGAGTGCAGGTCTCCACCTTTTCTCCTTATGCTTTTTCACAGCATGTACATAATTTTTCTGTGAATCCATCTTATCCTTTATACATAAACACAAGGAGAAATTCTTTAGGCAGTTCAAGCTCAAAAGCCTGGCAGTTGGAGGGTGCACTAGAAACTTACCCTATCTTGGTCAAAAGCCCATTTGGAGTCCAGCATGCTGTTTTGGAGGATCTCAAAACAGGCAACCATTCTGCAGCGTTGAGTGGGTATCAGTCAGCAGCTAATAAACCTATCACAGCATATTCAGATGAAGGAAACGACACAAGAGAATCCCTCCATGAGAAGAACCTTTTGAAGAACTTTGGTCGGCCGGGTGCCATGGTTCCTGAAAGTTCTCCTGGTCTGTATATGAGAACCGCCATTGGCCACGAGACGAACGGATTGATGAAAATGTCCAACCCAGGAAATGCTGACATTATTTCTGAGATGCTTACCCTTGGTGCAAGCACAAACCCACCTTATAACTTCCCGATGCAGTCTGAAACAGTGCTCAAACAGCATCATGATGGGCTGAAGATGAAGGCACCTCCTTTCATGAACTCTGCTACAAGAGTTGAAGGACATAGATTCCCTTACACATACGCAAGGAGGAAGCCACACAGGGCGGTCGACCTCGTGGATCCTGTTGAGACGCCGACCATGGTGGGTTCAGAGACAGCGAGTGGGCTGGCTAGCATGGCAAATGTAAAGGCGAAGGGCATCAAACTTTGAAGTTTGCGAGCAACAAACAAGGAGATCTGATTATAGAGATGGGGAGTTGGCTTAACATCTAGCTAACATAGTAAATAAGGGTAATGTTTTGCTTTCTGTTGCGAAGTCGAATTGGCTGAAGCCTCCCTTTGTTACAGTATCATTCGGTATCTCAAGAGGACAAGTAGATAACAATCCTGTTAGATGAAATATGCAAAGCAGTCGAGTCTCACACCTAATTATTTCCCAATGACTCTTTGCTGCAATCATATAGTAAATTCTTATGGGCTTCAGATTTCTCTGTGATATCTATATATTTCTGATGTAGTATTATCTCTTTTCTCAATTTTCGTTCCGTTCAGTCAACACAGTCTCTAATATATGTTAGCCATTTATGTGAAATGTAATTGTACTCAACTTTGACGAAAAATGAAAACTGGCAGCGTAGTTTCTACGTGACAAGCAAATTGACAAGTGTGCTATACTTCACTACAATCTATGTATGACTGAATTTTCACAGATTCGTCGGTTCAGAATTCGAGATTTGAAATTTGAAATTCGTGTTATCTCTAGCATCAACCAGAGAGGATACTAAAGTATAAACCAAACCATGCCACCATCTTATATTACCATATCAATGGATTAAGGCATATGCCAAAGAAAAAACTTGAATAAAATCATATTATACCCTGAATTCTTTTTATGTTGCGCGATCCAAAAGGAAGATGAAGCCGAAATAGGGTTTCCTCCTGCTTTCTCTCCCTAATAATAAAGCACGGATTGACTTTGTCGGGTTTACCGTCACAATACGAATTTTTTGGAATAGCAGAGGTCTTAAGGACTTGGCTAAGAGAAGGTTTCTAGTTGATGCTTCGATAGAACACAAGTTGGATTTTATCGCTATTTCTGAGATTGGTAGGGACAACTTCACACCCCAGTTTCTGAGTACTCTATCGGGAGGTGTGGACTTTGATTGGCATTGTCTGCCTCCAAGAGGAAGATCCGGTGGGATTCTACTTGGGGTCAAGTGTGACTCCTTAGAAGTCCGGGATGTGGTTATGGGTGATTTTGTGGCTAAGTTTAGGGTCAGATCGAAGACTGATGGGTTTCGTTGGGCCTTGGTGGCGGTATATGGTGCCGCGCAGTCTGAATTCAAACCAGACTTTTGGCGGATTTAGTCCGTATTTGTGGTAGCGAGCAGCTCCCAATTCTAGTTGGGGTGATTTCAATATTATCCGTAGACGGGATGAAAATAACAGTGATAACTTTGACGGCAGATGGTCGTTCATGTTCAATACTATCATTGAAAGCTTGGATCTTAGAGAGATAGAGCTATCTGGTCGAAAATTCACTTGGGCCAATTCATTACCAACCCCGACGTTTGAGAAGCTGGATCGTGTCCTCGCTAGCGTCGAATGGGAACAGAAATTTCCCCTGGTAACGGTCCATGCGTTATCCCGAGCCGTTTCCGACCATACTCCATTGCTCGTTGACTCAGGAGAGGCAACGCATGTGGGGAACAAGAACACGTTCTCTTTCGAATTAGCGTGGTTTGAGAGAGAAGGGTTCATAGATCTGATAGCCAGAGAATGGGCTAAGGATTCGGGTGGGAGGTCGAATGTTGACAGATGGCAAAACAAAATAAGACATCTAAGGCAATTCTTACGTGGATGGGCTAAACATTTAAGTGGAATTTATAAGATTGAAAAGGATAGACTCCTTGACCTTATTCAATCCCTAGATGTAAAGGCCGAATCCTCCATTCTAGATACCAGAGAGCTGGAAACTAAAATGGAGGCGGAGTTACGACTGAAAGAGCTTCTTCGAGAGGAGGAATTTAGTGGGCATTGCGTGCGGAAGTCCGCAAAATCGTCAAAGGGGACGATAATATCCAATTCTTCCACATGATTGCAAATGGCAAACATCGAAAGAAGAGAATCTTTCAGCTCGAGCAGGATGAGGGGACGATTTTAGGGCAGGAAAATTTAAAATTATACATCACGAACTATTATAAACAGTTGTTTGGGCCTCCAGAGGATAATTTCGTTTCCTTGGATGAGTCGAGGATAGAGGGTGTCCCTCAGCTTGTTGTTGATGAGAATGAAATTTTAACCGCCCCGTTTTCGGAGAAAGAGGTGTTTGAGGCTATATCACAAATGAAGAATAATAAAGCTCCAGGCCCGGATGATTTTCCGACGGAGTTCTACAAGAAGTGTTGGCACATTATCAAAGGGGACTTGATCCCGTTGTTCCATGATTTATTCAGTGGGCAATTACAGTTGTCTCACTTAAATTATGGAACAATAACTTTGCTTCCTAAGAAAACAGACGCCATGCGGATCGAGTAATTCAGGCCAATCTGTCTTCTTAATGTCAGCTTCAAGATTTTCACCAAGGTGGGGACGAATAGGCTTACACAGATTGCGTGTACTGCGGTGCAGCCTTCCCAAACTGCTTTTATGCCGGACAGGAACATTCTAGAAGGGGTTGTAGTTCTGCATGAAACACTCCATGAGATCCACACAAAAAAACTAGATGAGGTGGTTTTCAAAGTGGATTTTGAAAAGGCGTATGATAAAGTCAAATGGCCCTTCTTTCAACAGGCTTTGCGCATGAAAGGATATGATCAGGCCTGGAGGAACTAGGTTGATTCTTTCACGTAAAAAGGGAGTGTTGGTATTAAAATGAATGACGACGTAGGTCACTATTTCCAGACACACAAAGGCCTGAGGCAAGGTGACCCGATGTCACCGATTCTTTTCAACATTGTAGTTGACATGTTGACAATCTTAATAGGAAGGGCGAAGGAGAATGGCCAAGTAGGTGGCCTAGTTCCGCATCTAGTAGATGGCGGGGTGTCAATCCTTCAGTACGCTGATGGCACTATCATCTTCATGGAGCACGATCTGGCTAAAGCAAGAAACATGAAGCTTGTGTTATGTTTGTTCGAGCAATTATCGGGGTTAAAGATTAACTTCCATAAAAGTGAATTGTTCTGTTTTGGAAGAGCCAAAGATGAACAAGATGCGTACAAACAATTGTTCGGATGCGAATTGGGATCTCTATCCTTCACTTATTTGGGTATACCAATTCACCATCGCAAGCTTTCCAACAGAGAATGGAAGTGCCTTGAAGCGGTTTGAAAAGAAACTAAGTTGCTGGAAGGGCAAGCTTATGTCATACGGAGGTCGATTAATTCTCATGAATTCGGTCTTTACAAGTATGCCTATGTTTCTTTTGTCCTTTTTTGAGATACCAGTGTTGGGGAACGTAGCAGAAATTCAAAAAATTTCCTACGTATCACCAAGATCTATCTATGGAGAGACCAGCAACGAGTAGAAAGGAGAGAGCATCTACATACCCTTGTAGATCGCTAAGCGGAAGCGTTCAAGTGAACGGGGTTGATGGAGTCGTACTCGTCGTGATTCAGATCACCGATGATCAAGTGCCGAACGGACGGCACCTCCGCGTTCAACACACGTACAGCCCGGTGACGTCTCCCACGCCTTGATCCAGCAAGGAGAGAGGGAGAGGTTGAGGAAGACTCCATCCAACAGCAGCACAACGGCGTGGTGGTGGTGGAGGAGCGTGGCAATCCAGCAGGGCTTCGCCAAGCACCTACGGGAGAGGAGGAGGTGTCACGGGAGGGAGGGAGGCACCAAGGGCTCAGGTATGGATGCCCTCCCTCCCCTCCACTATATATAGGGGCAGGGGATAAGGGGGAGGCGCAGCCTTGCCCCCTACTCCAAGAAAGGGGTGCGGCTAAGGAGGGGGGAGGAGTCCATCCTCCCCAAGGCACCTCGGAGGTGCCTTCCCCCTTTAGGACTCTCCCTTTTTCCTTTATCTTGGCGCATGGGCCTCTAGGGGCTGGTGACCTTGGCCCATGTAGGCCAAGGCGCACCCCCTACAGCCCATGTGGCCCCCCGGGGCAGGTGGCCCCACCCGGTGGGCCCCCGGGACCCTTCCGGTGGTCCCGGTACAATACCGATGACCCCGAAACTTGTCCCGATGGCCGAAACAGGACTTCCTATATATAAATCTTTACCTCCGGACCATTCCGGAACTCCTCGTGACGTTCGGGATTTCATCCGGGACTCCGAACAACATTCGGTAACCACATACAAGCTTCCTTTATAACCCTAGCGTCATCGAACCTTAAGTGTGTAGACCCTACGGGTTCGGGAGACATGCAGACATGACCGAGACGTTCTCCGATCAATAACCAACAGCGGGATCTGGATACCCATGTTGGCTCCCACATGTTCCACGATGATCTCATCGGATAAACTACGATGTCAAGGACTCAATCGATCCCATATACAATTCCCTTTGTCTAACGGTATTGCACTTGCCCGAGATTCAATCGTCGGTATCCTTATACCTTGTTCAATCTCGTTACCGGCAAGTCTCTTTACTCGTTCCGTAATACATCATCCCGTGATCAACTCCTTGGTCACATTGCGCAAATGATGATGTCCTACCGAGTGGGCCCAGAGATACCTCTCCGTTTACACGGAGTGACAAATCCCAGTCTCGATCCGCATAAAACAATAGATACTTTCGGAGATACCTGTAGTGTACCTTTATAGTCACCCAGTTACGTTGTGACGTTTGATACACCCAAAGCACTCCTACGGTATCCAGGAGTTACACGATCTCATGGTCAAAGGAAGAGATACTTGACATTGGCAAAGCTCTAGCAAACGAACTACACGATCCTTGTGCTATGCTTAGGATTGGGTCTTGTCCATCACATCATTCTCCTAATGATGTGATCCCGTTATCAACGACATCCAATGTCCATAGCCAGGAAACCATGACTATCTGTTGATCACAACGAGCTAGTCAACTAGAGGCTCACTAGGGACATATTGTGGTCTATGTATTCACACGTGTATTACGATTTCCGGATAATACAGTTATAGCATGAATAAAAGACAATTATCATGAACAAGGAAATATAATAATAATACTTTTATTATTGCCTCTAGGGCATATTTCCAACAGTCTCCCACTTGCAC